ACAGAGTTAGGCCAATATTCAATTTAGCAGAGCAGGGAGGAGGGGACGACTTAAACATCAACAAAAGGAATTGTACAACCAACAAGTGCGTATAGATCCCACTGAGATGGGATTAGGAATTAGACAAATTAAGTAAACTGATCTCCTTCAGATAAGGCAAATATTAAGATAAAAGAAGCCATCTGTGCAGCTGGAGAACTCAGTTTATCTGCAGCAACAGGTAGGAGAAGGCAGAGCGTGTATTTACAAGTCACATTTGGGCAGCACTGCAGGTTTACAAACACTAAGATGTTATCTACCCTAAAAAAAATGTTGCCATCTAAAAAACAAACAAGATAGGGAGGCTGAGCACGTAACAAGCAATCTGATCTGGAGTGCCACCAGCAGCTGTACAGCTGCCACGAGGATGGCTTTTGCTCTCCCAGCCCAAAGAACAGGCAGCTTTCTGCCAGCTCAGGGAGGTAAATTGGCCAAGGAGGGTCTGAGAGCAGGAAAAAACAAAAAAATAATTAAAAAGGGCCAGAATCATATAATTGGAAATATATTGAAGGTTAAAAATGATAAGAATTGCCATCTTGCCAGGACAGCAAGCTGTCCAACTGCACATCACTGACCCCACAGCTGCCAGCAGTCACCTAACCCTCCCCTGATGTGTTCCCTGCTCAGCTCCTGCCCTGGTTCTGGTGCTCTCAGACCCTGCACTGAGCCATCAGGACGTGCCAACGTAGCTGCTGTGGCACCATCACACTTCATACACATGGCTTCAGTCCTCCCACTTCTAATGCTGCTAGCACTAGACAAATTGAAGAGAAAAAAAACAAACAAACAAAAAAGTGAACAGAACCATTATTTAAAACTGTCAATACTCCCCAGGCCACCTGCCAATGAATCACAAATCACAGAATCATAGAATGGTTTGGGTTGGGAGGGACCTTAAAGCTCATCCAGTCCCAACCCCCCTGCCAGCAGCAGGGACACCTTCCACTAGACCAGGTTGCTCAAAGCCTCATCCAACCTGGCCGAGAACACTTCCAGTGATGGTTCATCTACAACTTCCTTGGGCAACCTAGATTTATGAGAACACAGTAAAGGACCCATTAGCAGGGAAAGCAGAGTAGTGTACAGGTTTTTATGGGTTTTATTTTGCTTGGGTTGTGTTTTGGGTTTGTTTTTTGTTTTTTTTAAACCAGATGCAAGGATGCCCAGGCCCAGTAGTACAACCACTCTGCTTGAAAACAAATGTGCTGGTCACTGAAGAGGCAGGGGCTTATCTCGGACCCAACCAGTTGTATCAAGGGGACATGAACATGTGCACAGTGAACACCGATCACTTCAGCCTTTGATGTTTAAGGGCTCTGCTACAACAAACCATGGGGTTTGCAGCAATTTCTGTTTGGCCAGAGTCAGACCTCCACTAGACTCCAGCACCAACACCTGCAGGGGACAACAATAATTAAAACCTCATCAAATGAAATGGAAAATATTTCTTACCAGTATTTCTTTTCAAGTGTAGGGTGAGATTCACTGTTACCCCTATCTCCATACTTTAAAATTTTTGGTTCAGTTCTTTCCATTTTTGAAGTTAAGTACCCACCAGTTGCCTAATGTCTCTCTGTTCCCACCCTCCTCCCACCCTCCTGGATTAAGTTACAGCTAGCTACTCACCCAGCTGCTCTTCTATTCTAGATGCAGGCTTATCTGGCAGCATAACCTACTCCCAATCAAGAACGTTGCCACAGTTCAAAATGCATGTCATGCAGGGGTGACAATGACAAACACCACCCTGCAGTCTCTCTGCACTGTCCACTATCCCAAAAAGACACTGCATGAATATTCCATATTGCAAAGCTACAGATAAAAGGGATGAAAGCAAAGAAAAGCAGATGTCCAGCTCCCCTGTCTTGAAGGCTGGAAAAGAAAGAGATCTTGCATAGCTCGTGTTAAGCCTCAGATAAGCATCACTGCTGTGTGATCAAAGATCTCAGGAGACAACACAAGCAGCACGGACACACATTCTGGTCTATGTGCTAAAGCAGCAGAACCAACTGGCCTCTACGTGTGACTTCTGAGGTGACATTCCCTTTCTTCACCAATTGCTACACACCATCGCTTTTTATCACTTTCCAGTTCAACATCTGCTGAGAAGGGGAGTTTGATACCAAACCAGTGAAGATTCCATGTGGCTTGTAGCAAGGCTCCAAGATGACATCCTTCGTTACAGCCAACAACCTGGACAAAGTGCTAGATGGAGGAGAAGGCTACTTCCAACAATATCAACCACGTTCACTATCAACAGCCCAAACCTTCGCCATTTCAGAGCAGAGCCAAAAGGATTTCTGTGACTCTTCTTTCCAACCTCAAAACTTAAGAAAGTATTCTGCTTCCACTCACACAGAAATTTCAGAGGGTACAAGGCCGGTTGCAGAGGAGGAGGGTGGGATTTTGAAGATGGAAACAGCCACAAGGCAGATGAAAGTTGTGGGGGCTTTTTAAACTATGCTTAATTTTCCCAGATTAGGATATCTGTTCATCACCAAACATTGTCTATCCTGCTGTCAAAATGCAGGGAAGAGATGGAATTGTTTGACAGTTCCCTTTGGAAAAAAGCTCCAATGTCTTCAGAGGCACAAACTTCTTAAATCCCTAAAATTACAATGATACTGTTTACTAAGCAAGAAAACAAGAAGATAAAAAAGCCACACGAAATGTGTAAACACTCTTCTCCTCATCTTTCTCCTCCAGGTTTTTCACTATCAACTCAAAGTATGAGATTATTGAAAATACTTGCAGGCAAGGCTCAGAAGACACAAGATCAAGACATACAAATCAAATTCACTGCTCTTCTCATTTATTCCAGATTTAAATCTTTTCTTAGCACACTGACTTTCTCCATGGGTTTCCTTCATGTTCCAGGAGCAGAGGAGAGGAGGAAACTATCAGTGCTAAGGCATCTAAACAACAGACAGGGCATGCTGCAAAAAATCAAAGTCTGAAGTTGAAGAACACGGTCTTGAAAGCCAATATCCTGTGGGGATCTCAGTTTACAGAGCTCATGAAATCAGCCAGCTGGATCTATGCTGAGATACCTTGGGGAAATACAGAGAAAATCCAATGGATAAAGAAAGGAAACTATGGGACTGAGGAAAGAAAAAAACTCAAGAGAAACAAGGAATAGTACCGTAGCTTAAAGAGAAGGTGAAATGTCACCTTTCGTGGAAAAACACACACATTTGGGTATGTGGAAAAGCCCAGTGACAAAAGTATGTCACCTCCAAAACTTTCTGCATCACAGTGACAAGAGGAAAAAATAAATAATAATAAAAAGAAGTGATTCATCATTGGAAGGCAAAGCTCAAATCCTCCAAAAAACCAATCCCAAATTCGCTTCTCTCAAGAAATGGCTAAATAAGCTAAGAGTTGTTAAAAATCAGCATATTTAGGAATGCCCTAAGGCATCTAAGCTAACATGACCTAATGCCACGTTGAGTACAAAACAAGTGCTGCACTTTTAACGGGTTTTCAGAGCTCATACGCTCCATATCTGAAAATTAACGTCTTGCCCAAGCGAGGTGTTAAAAAAATAACATTCACAGAACATTCACACCCCCGTGATTCCTCTGGCGTGCTTCATACGGAGGCACATCAGCTGTTTTTCAGCAGCTTTAGACAGATTCTTAATGTCATGTTTTCTCCTTTGTAAATCACTTTCATCTACTCCTAGTCAATAGTCTCAATGTAGATTAATATAACCTAATATAACAGAAATTTTCCTATCAAGTACTGTCAAATCAAAATACAACTGTGTTGTATCTTCCAGAGAAGGAAGGAAGGAGAGGAGAGAAGTTAAGCTGCAAGCACCATGAATTCCCTGAGATCTTTCACCTGAGAGAGGGTATCTTACGAATCCCACCACACAACAGTCCTGGTTTGCAGTTTTCTCCAAAACAATAGTTTTTGAGGTTTAGGGTTTGTTTTTTTGGTTTCTTTTGGGTTTTTTTTTTAACCTGGCTCATAAACTAGATAACAGAGATAGGATGTGCTAAACGTGGGAGAAAATAAACTAGTCTCAACTTGTCAGACAGGAAGGCAAAAAGGAAGGCTCTCCAAAACAACAGACCTATACCAAGATGACCCACTGTACATTAATATCTTCCTCCAAGACATGATTTTTTTCATCTCTGTTCTTCCACGAGCCCCTAAAGGAACTGACTATAAAGGAAAAGGGAACAAGGCAAGGAAGAGAAGGATTTACATCCAACTGTCAGTAACCTAACACAGCCAAGTACAGTAACTTGCTATTCTTTCAAGTCACCCTAAAAATAGGTAAATTCTTTCTTTCCAAAGAAAACCAATGGCCACCTCCCCCAAATCTGCCACCTCCTTACTGTGCTGGGAGATAAAAATAACTCTCCCTGGGTTTCTATTAAGTTAGAACTGAAGGGGCCTTTATCTCACAACCCCTGCTCAGTCCTCTGACCTGTCCGAAGCGCTTATCACTCCTGCAGCCCTCGATTACGTTGCCCGGCTACTTTAAACGTTAAACACAGTCCTGGGCTTTATGACAAGAGCCAAAAGGTGGCCAGGAGTGGAAACAGGGCATCAGCCAATGACAGACAACTAAACCCACAATATTACGGGCTCTGAGATCACTGGATCCTAAAATAAACACGCTACAAGTATTGTAACACTTGTCACAAGACATATTTCTAACTGTTCCTTTACAACCACCGTTTCACTGTTTGATGACCCAACAGGTGGAGGGCTTAGCTGTTCTGAATACTGAGATGTATCCCAGCCTGACAGGTTTTTATTTTGCTAAAAGCAGACAGACAGACATACACACACCCCCCACACACAAGCTCCACAATCACAATGGAGAACTCTCAAGTTCAGAATCATTCCAGCAGCTTCAACAATTGTTATTTATTGCCCTCCTCCCCCTCAAAATATGCAGATTTTTTTAATTATTATTATTTATTTTCTATAGGCCTTTCACTTACCTCTCCCATAGCCCGGCCTTCCAGAGCAAGCGCTTGAAAATCATGATTCAGTTCATCCATGGAACGCACCTATTTATAGATGGGCAAGAAAAACACATGAGGAAATGCTTGTATTTTTCTTAATAATAAACATAAGTTTATAGCATTTTTTTCTGATACAGACTGAGAGCTACATTCCATCTTACAGCATATAACAAGGTTACCGAGCTCCAAAAGATGACTTACCTTTAAGACTCCCAGAAGCTACAACGTTGATAGTGTTAGATTTATACACGCACAAAAATGGTAAAAACTAGCAATTACTTTTAAGACACATAAAGTCTAATGCAAGTGCCTTTGCTAAGTGTATTGCAGAGACTAATACTGCACAGAGCTGCATGGTTTCAAGTGAGGGAGTCGATGCATAAGCAAGTGAGTTGGCATCATTTCCTTTCAGGTGAAAATCAAGTAAAGACTCATATAAAACAGGCAGATTTATATTCAAGTTACATTGATATGAAAAACACAAGGGTAAAAAGAAAAAGCAAATTAAATTAAATAACACCATTTGAAATGGGAGACAGGGGATGAAGAAAGGAGAACAAGCAATGCCTGAAGATCAGTTGCCAATTTTAGCTACTGTACCCACAACAACGTCTCAAAGTGGAAACCCAGAAACACAAACTGGGGTGCAAAACACCTCAAAAAATTCCCGCTGAGGTCTGGCCCTTCCCTCATTCCCAAGAGGTTGCCACACAGCTCCAGGGCTACGCCGGGGGTCCCAAGAGTTGCCAGCAAAGCACCCAAGGGAAAGGGTGAAGTGGTCCTTCCAGATTCACCCAGCGCAGAGCTTGGGTGCTGCAGGAGCCAGGGGACAACCCCAGGAGGTGACACTGGCCTTGGGACACAGGCAGGACCTGTAGCTAGACACTGACTTGGGGAGCTGTGCCATTTTCTGCTTCTGCTTTGCATCATGATTGGATGAAAACTGATTCAATTAGAACGTTAAAAAGCAGCAATTTCAAGCTGTTAGCAAGGTAAGCCGGGTATGTTGAAAATGCAAGAACACACTTCTGATTTTCACTCCCAAATCTCATCCAGGCAAACCCTGACAGATGCAGCCACTGAGCAGAAGCAAATTCAAAATCCCCAACTATGGACTTGAGGACAAAGCACAGAAGTTCAACCACGTGCTAGGATTTGGACTGAGTGATTGCCCTCCTCAGATAACACACCTGTATCAAAGCAGCGCTTATTACAACAGCAACAAACACTTGGGATGGCACATAAATGATGCTACACACACCCTACTCCATGTTTACGTAATCCCTACAACCCAGCAGATCCGATACACCTTTCTGCTAGAGCAGTTTGTACCACAGTTCTTCAGGAGTAACCCCCACGCTGTACACACCGCAGTCCTTACGGGCTCTCTTTAATACAGTGTTTCCTGGTGTCACCGCTGAAGACACAGCGGGTGATTTGGACACAGTCTCCTCCAGGCCAAGGGAAGGAGCCCAGTAATACCTGGCAGGTGATTTATAGGACCAAAAAAACCCCAAAAAACCAACAGTTTACCCACTTACCCTGCCAGTGAGCAGTGCTGTAAGCAGCTACACCATGTTCACTGACCTTAACCCTGACTTCTGATAACTCATGCCACTATTTCCAGAAGAACCAAGTGAAGACTTTATTGTGACTACAAGTCAATAAATACAATATTTATTTTATTTCTATTTTAAGACAAGATTCAATAGACCTCATCTGAAAATATCAGATATATATTCTTTTAAGTACAATATCAGCACCACAGATAACCTCCAGAAGTCCCCTCCAGTTTGAATTCTACCACCTTGTGACAATACTACTTTGCAAAAGATTAGTAACATATTAAATTATCTAACGCATATTTATGTAATTTGCAAATCCTCAGTGGCCAGTCACTTGGAATCACAGTTTAAAAATAAGGTATCCTCTTACTACTGTATCTCAGCACAAAGTTATTTTCAGTTACTCCTCAGTCTTGCCACCTTTTGCAGTGACACTTATCACATCAACCATGAACACAGAGTGAAAACAGGACTCCACCTCCCAGAAACTACAGCACCAGGAAACACCAAAGACTCTCCTTTACAGTTAACTCCACCAGTGAAGATTTCTTGCTTGTCTCATGTGAGACAGAAGTTAATAAAACCAAATTCTTCCATGAAGCATTTCAAGTTGAACTCATGCAAAGTGCTGCGACCCCCAGACATGCTAAGCCACAAAAGCTGAACAGCAGCTAATTATTATTTCAGTGAGACACCTGAGGAATTGAGAAGCTATACAAAGAGATTCGTTAGGTGATGATGTTCATGACTCTCACTGCTAAAGCAACGTCCCAGCAAACCACTGATCCAGGACTTGCAGTGCTGTGGGAAGCGCAAGCACAGAGACAGAGGCTGCTTCAGCGCGTGTCCTCCAGCTCGGTCAAACAAATCAGCTCCCAAAGGCAGACGTTGTGCTACGGACTCTCAAACCAAAGCTGCGAGAAAGACAGAATTGTGACGTTCCTAGCATAAATCAAATGGATATTAAGAGACATCTGTGTTTTGTTTTGGTGTTATCCCAGCCCTAGGAACTCCCCTTGCACTAACATCCCTGGTGAAAGCCCCGTGCACAACACGCTGGCAGTTTCCAAACAAGAATGAAGTCTCAGCCCCTTCCTCATGTACTTCAGCACGTTACGTGGTCATCCTCACTCCACCAAACATTTTTTTAAATGCCAGAATGACTTATTTTATTTCTTCACATTAGATGCAAGAACATTTTCACAGATGTTCAAGCATTTGGCGTGAGTAGAAAAACGTGTCATCATAGAATCATAGAATGGTTTGGGTTGGAAGGGACCTTAAAGCTCATCCAGTCCCAACCCCCCTGCCAGCAGCAGGGACACCTTCCACTAGACCAGGTTGCTCAAAGCCTCATCCAACCTGGCCTTCAACACTTCCAGGGAAGGGGCATCCACAACTTCCTTGGGCAACCTGTTCCAGTGTCTGACCACCCTCACAGTGAAGAACTTCTTCCTAATATCTCATCTAAACCTCCCCTCTTTCAATTTAAACCCATTTCCCCTTGTTCTGTCATTAACTGCCCTTATGAAAAGTCCTTCCACAGCTTTCTTGTAGCCCCTTCAGGTACTGGGAGGCCACTAGAAGGTCTCCCCAGAGCCTTCTCTTCTCCAGGCTGAACAGCCCCAACTCTCTCAGCCTGTCCTCACAGCAGAGCTGCTCCAGCCCTCGCATCATCCTGGTGGCCTCCTCTGGACTTGTTCTAACTGCTCCAGGTCATCTTGTTAAACCAATTACAGCAGCACAAATACACGATTTACAGCCATGTGTGAAGCCGTGCCCCGTGCTGGCCTGCATTCTTGGTGGAGAAGTCTTGTAGATGGGCTGTGGATCCCAGCAAAACCAGGACAAGAAGCTAGAGCTGGTGTAACTACTGACAACGACATCATCTCCAACACGGTCAAAGCTTTCAATGCAAGTTCATCATCCTCCACCAGAAACCATAACAACTTAGCAACTCCCGTTCCTCTAGGAGTCCAGTAAGCACAGACAGCTCTCCTCAGTGCCGACCCTTTGTGTTTCCAACATGGAAAAGCATGTTTGTCTTCAAACGACACCATGAGAGGTGATTACTACTGAGGTGACAGAGAGACCAAGATAAGAAAAGTGGTAAAAGGCTAAAAGCAGGATAAACATGAGAGCAAAGAGCACTCCAGCTGCTTCAGACCCAGGTGGTTTAACCACACACCTAACAGGGCACTATTATTTTCACTCCTCTCTTAAGGGTCTGAAGGAAGCTGTCCTTCAAATATGGCTTAGGCTGCAAATTGCCATCCTAACGTCCCTGTTAAATCACACACAGCAGAAACCAGCTGCCTCCATCTCCTTCACAAACATACTTCACCCCAGTCACTATCAAGAGTAGAAAAAAATAATACTGGCTTCTCTTATCTGCTATCAGATGTCTGGTAACAGAAAAAATTATTCAACACATATTTCAATGACACCCCTAATCAACTCTCTTTCATCAATCCTAACAATTATAGATAAAAACATTCTCTAAATCAGGTCTCTGTGCCTGACTTTCGGGCCCCATATGCTCAAACTGTACATAATCACCAGTTCTGAGGCACTTCCAGTCACACAGTTCCTTTCTCTCCAGTGATTATCCTGTCTGCTTGTTTGTAACACAGGCTAATTTATGATTCAGTTTTCAAAGCCTGTACTCAAAAGGTCCTCTTCTCATTTTCCCACTTCTATAATACTAAATAGCAACAGTTCTTCAGCTCATTTTCTTACGTGGTATGTACAGATATCACAGGGCTCCTTCATTTCCCTCTGCAAAAAGAACAAATTGCTTCTGAAACTGCTGGAGAGAGTCAAGCACAGAGCCACCAAGATGATGAAGGGAGTGGAGCATCTCCCTGCTGAGGAAAGGCTGAGGGAGCTGGGGCTCTTTAGCTTGGAGAAGAGGAGACTGAGGGGTGACCTCATTAATGTTTATAAATATGTAAAGGGTGAATGTCAGGAGGATGGAGCCAGGCTCTTCTCAGTGATGCCCAATGGTAGGACAAGGGGCAATGGGTGTGAGCTGGAACACAGGAGGTTCTGCTTCAACTTGAGAAGAAACTTCTTTCCAGTGAGGGTGACAGAGCCCTGGGACAGGCTGCCCAGGGAGGGGGTGGAGTCTCCTTCTCTGGAGACATTCAAGACCCGCCTGGACACCTTCCTGTGTGATCTCATTTAGGTTCCTGCTCTGGCAGGGGGACTGGACGGGATGATCTTTCGAGGTCCCTTCCAATCCCTGACATTCTGTGATTCTGTGATTGCTACTGAATGAGAGTCACAAAGCAATTTCATTGCACAAGAACATCCCTCCCCTTCTCATGAAACGCTGTGTATGCACTCAGGAATTATGTAAATTCACCCAAATTGATGAGAATCTCATTCAAGAGGAGTAATTTCCACGCACACTAATATATGAATGTGTGTCACTATAACACACTCCACTCCACCGACTTATAAATAATTCCCTGCCTG